TCCATTAGAAGGTTCTATACCTACACCGTTTATTCCCCCTTTCATTGTTCTGATGCTGTTGTCATTTACAGATTAACCTCTCTGGTTCCCTACTGTAATTCTTTTGGGTTTGCGTAGTCCTTAAGAATTCATTTCCTAGGTTGGTATCTGGCTAGTACAATCCTGTGTCCTATATTCAGCCTGTGGTCTGATGTTGTTTGTTCTCAGATTGAAGGACTCCCTTTAATAAGTCTTGTAAATTTGGTTTGGTTTTTACATAGTCCCTTAATTTCTGTTTATCTGTAAATGACCTAATTTCACCATCATATCTGAACGAGAGTTTTGCAGAATATATTATTCTTGGCTGGCAATTATTTTCTTTCAAGATTTTATATATGTCATCCCATTGCCTTCTTGCCTGCACGGTTTCTCCCGAATAATACGAGCTTGGTCTTATTGTTTCTCCTCTGTATGTGACTTTTTGTTTTTCTTGAGCTGCTCTCAGGATTCTTTGTCTTTCCTTTTAGCGAGTGTGATTATGATATGCCTTGGTGATTTTCTTTTGGGGTCTATCCTATATGGGGTTCGTTGAGCTTCTTGGATGGTCAGCTTCTCATCTTTTATGATACTGGGGAAGTTTTCTGTCAGCAGTTCTTCAATGATCCTCTGTTTTCTCCCCGTTCTGAACTCCGATCACTCGCAGATCTTTGCTTTTGATTGTGTACCACATAATTCTCAGGGTTTCTTCATTTTTCTTCGTTCTTTTTTCTGATTTCTCCTCAAGCAGAATTGTATCCAAGTGTTTGTCTTCAATTTTGCTGATCCTGTCTTTCATCGTTTCAAACCTGCTCCTCAGCCCTTCTATGACACTATCCATTTCTGAAATCTTGTTGTTTATTTATCTTTTGGATTTTTAATTGTTGTTTTTGTATGATTTCTAGTTGTGAATTTATTTTAGCATTTTGTTCCTGTATTATTTTCTTGAATCTTCCATTTTTTTTGTCTGTATTTTCCATGAATTTGTCTGCCTTTTTTCATGAATTTGTGTATTTTTTCCTCATTTTTGTCTGCTTTTTGCTTCAACTCTTAGGGAATTCAGATCTCTAATATGCAGAATTATCCATCAGTTAGGTCTAGTGCCTCTCCTTCTACTGGAAGGTCTTCTGGTGTTTTCCTTTGCCTGCTAGAACCATCCTGTCCGGTTTCTGTAATGTTTTGATATTGTCTGCTGTCTTCGTGGCATCCAGTGGTTATGTTCCTCATTTACTGATTATAGATTTGTTTGTTTTGTCCTGCTTTTTTGTTTTATTTGGTTATGTCTGAGCAGGCGGGCTGTGCATTCTCTGTTGTTTGCTCGTCTGTGGGCGTGATACTTTTCACCTCCTCCTCCAATGGGCAGGGTCAGTCACTCAGGTACGGTACCGCAGAGCAGGTCCAGCTGAAGGGGAGTTGCTGGGATGGTTTTTTGTGGCACGTACCAGGGCTGACAGTGCGGACCAGGAATCAGTGCAGGGCAGGTTTCAGTAAGCCATGCCTGTGCTTCTTGGGAGTGTGATGTTCAGCGCATGGTACAGGTAGGCAGGAAAGAGGGGGCAGATTGTGATGTGTGGAGCTAAGATGGGTACAGGAAAGAAGAGAGAGGAGAGAGGAACAGGAGCCAAAAACATACACACAAACAAAAAAGACTGATAAGGGAGCTTGCTACTGGAGTGGAGCGATAAGAGACTGAGAAATGGGGAAAAACAAAAATTAAAAAAAAAAGAGTAAAAGAAAAAAATAAATAAATTGAGAAACTGGAAATGAAGAAAAACAAAAAGAGAAACTGAGAGAAGAAAAAAAAAAAAAAAACAAGAAAAAAGAAACGCCGCCATGGATGTCCCTGTGTGTCTGCACAGAGTAAGGGAGTAGCTTCCAAGCCGCGTGGTACTGCCCAGCTAGAAGGGGCTCCCAAGCCAAGAAAAGAAAGAGAAAACAAACAAATCAGAGCAAACAAACAAAAAAGCCCTGGGGGTCCCACCAGCGTGGCGGCACAGGCTGGGAAGCTGTTTCAGAGTCAAGCGGTGTTTCGCAGCCTTTCAGGAAGAAGCAAAGATGGCGCACAGAGCCAAGTATTTCAGAGAAAGGAGGGGGAGGTGGTGAGAGGTAAGGAAGAAATCTAAAGAAACAGAAAAAAGCAACACCAGCAGCCAACAAAAGGCACTCAGGGAGCCGGCCAGTGCAGGCGGGTGGAATCCAAGCAACACCAGAGTGAAGGTGGTGCTTCTCGGCCAAGAGACTGGTTGCAGGAAGCAGAGAAGGCTAAGTGGGGGTGAAGAGGGATGGGGGGTGAGAAAGCCTATAACGCTGGTTACTGGTTGTTCTGTCTCCTGCTGGAAGCTCCAAGAAGCTGCTTTCTCGCACCCCCTGTTCACTGATCTCCGGCAGGAGTCCAAGATGGCAGATGCGTGCTGCAGCAGCTGACAGGGGACCTCTGCATGTTATCTCTCCTTGCTCTCTGTTCTCAGTCGGTTTCTTATCCCATTCGGTGCCTGGCTGAGTTCTTTATCTCTTCATTTGATGCTTAGGGTTTCAGGATTGACGTGTGACTCTGTTTGACTTAGTGTTTCTGATCTTTGCTGCAGAGGGACGGCGTGGTGCTTCTGACTATAGTGCCGTGTTGCCCGGAAGTCAAGGGCTGAAACCTTGTCGTATTTCTCTTTACATCCCCAGCATCAAGCAAGTGCTTCACATATACCAAATATAAATAAAAATGACTGAACGGGAGCCTTGTTGGAGGGAAGTTACTACTATACAACCTTCTCAAACCTAAGAAAATGCATTACACTAGATGACATTCAAGAATGCTGGACTAGAATCCCTGATCTGTAGTGACAAAGATATTACTGAATATGAAGTATCATTAGCAAAAAGCCACTAAAAATTTTTGGCCCTCCCCCGCAAAAAATCGGTCTACCTTATTTAAAAAAAAAAAGAAAAAAGAGGCCAGGTGAAAAGGTAAGACCATGATGGCAAAGTCTACACCTGCTGCTGCCAGCACTGTAGATTACCTACCTAATCACCCTTTTTACATTCATTCTTACAAAAAGAATCCCAATTCTATTTGAAAAGGCAATGCGCCCAGCTCTTAAACCTTGGATCTCCTGCATCAAGAGTCGACCACGTGACACCGTGATAGACAATCAACTTCAAGTACAGACTGGAATTGGACATCCACACACCAAAAAATGAACTTAGATAGACCTAAACTTCACCTCTATACTAAAACTAACTCAAAATGGATCACAGACTTAAATGTAAAATGCAGAACAACAAAAAACTAAAAAAAGCCAGTAAGCTTCATAAAAAAATTCAGACTATTTAATTAGTACATGAATAGATATTAACACATATTTCCATCTTGAATCAGTAATTCTCCTTTTAATAATTGATCAATTTGAAAAAGTCAGTCAGTATATTGCTGTAAAAATATTAGAGATAAAAAAAAATTATATATAATTCAAATGCAACATTTTAGCCTTAAATCTAAACTTCACCAAACCCTTTTGCTTTAAAATAGTGAAGACATACAAGTTTTAAGGTGTAGCAATTAATTAATTGCATTAGTGCAAAAGGAAAGGAAAACAAGACACATCTGACCTTTCTAGTCACTGCACACATCTCGTCCTTAACCACGAATACAGACTAGGCGTGGCAGCAAGGAGGAGTTATCCTGTTCACATTTGAACCGAGTGAACACTTCCTGGAAGTTGCCATACTGAACTCAGTTTTCTGAAATCACAGTACTACTTTCTGTCTCCTCACTTTCAGAAACATAGATCCCTTCATCCAGGATGTGCACCTCCCTCAAGTCTGTATCGCTAGCTCTCACTCACCCTCCACAACACAAAGGAAACCCTTTCTAGTCCTAACTCCCACCAGGGCTTCGAACCGGTTCATTCAGATATACTGAATCAGGGATCTTGTTAAAATGCAGATTCTGATTCAGTATATCTGGGATAGAAATACAAATTCTCAGCAGAGGTTTGAAGTGGAATGAACCGGTTCAAAGCCCTGACACCTACATTCATGTATTAGGTCTCTGTGCGTCCATGAAGCCTGGTACATACCGCCAGTGAAGCACTTTCTGCAATGTTACTGTAAGTATCCACGGATGCCTGTCCCCCTACAGACTGCAAGCTGCAAAGCAGGGACCTTACAGGGGCATTTTATACCCCAGAACCTACACTGTGTCTACTATGTATAAGCTATTCACTAGTTTTTGAAGAAATATCCAATTTTGAGCTATGTAAATATTTCCAAAATTATACCTTCTGGAAAATTAATTCTCTTATTTCACAAATATCAAAGTCTATTTTAATTGCTTTGTTTCTTCGAACCATTCCGAGGGTTTAAAAAAAAAAGGGAGTGGGGATGAGTCAATGGCATTACATGAATAACATAATTAATTTATTATTTTCCTAAGAAATTTTACAGTTAAAACTCTACTCAGTCACATATTAACTGACTAAATAATATAAAGTAAAAAGTTAACATCTGCTTCGTGGGAAGTCTCTGACAGGTTAAATACAAATTATTACTTTACCATTTTTTGCATATGCCATTCAAATGTAACCTGATGCCTCTGCAGGGGCCTCTGGGGAAGATGTACTTACTCTGACGTCAGTCGCGTCTCCATGTCTGATAATACTGGCCCACGTGGTTGGCTCACTACTGCTTTCAAAATAATGGAAGACCTTTAACACTCTCTCCATTGCCCCAGGGGAACGTTCCACACCTGTACCCAGGTGAGTCTTAGTACTCGAATTTGGTGTGTGATTCAAGTTTGGGTCAAGGTAAGCAGCTGCCATTATTTTGCTAGATGCTAGGTATCGGTCATATTCTGTAAGAAAAAAAAAAAATTTTCAGTGTACAGTATTTAAAATCTACCGATTACAATGTGACGTGTTGGTACTTACATTAACGACACTGCTCTAACTTCTCTCTCTATGACATGTTACCTGTAGAAGGCACACTACCAGGTAAGCCTGAGGAGAATAGGGACCTAATCTACCAAGATATCCACCACCCACACCCAGAACAGTACCTGATTCACGATAGCATAATAAATACTTGCTAAACAAACTAATATAAGACAAGGAGTCTTATTTCAGTGCTGTCAAAAATTCACTGTGTTATCATAAACAATCTAATTCAACCCTTTTATATCACAGCCTTTACATCTGTGGAAAAATTTCACAGGAAATCCAAATTTGTTAATTCTGCAACCCACTTTTGAAAACTTTCACCTGTAATAAAATTTGTACATGAAATAAAAATTCAGTCAGCAGTCACTGTATGTACTAGGCACTGGTGATTAAAACAAAACAAAACTGGTAATTAAAACAAGGTCCTTCCCCTCAGTAAACTTGTTCAGCAAGAGAGTGAGACACGGACAACTGAAAACGAAACAAGAAAAGCGTAAACAACAGGAAGACGTCCATTTGAGTCTGAGGGAACAATCTGGGCAAGGCTAGAACTCCTACTGAGAAGTCAGAGAAGCCAGATATAAAACAACCCCAAAAAGGCTGCAAGGCCTCAAGACAGACACTCTGGGACAACCAAGTCAAACCGAGATGAAGACATGAACACCTATTTGGAGGCTGCCTTTTGGTAGACTACATTTGCTAACGCTGGGCCCTCGAGAGTCTGAAGATCCTAGCAAAAGCCACTAATGCACCCAAAAGCTGGACAAGGACAAACGAAGATCGAAGAAGAATTACACATTTGAATTGTGGTGTTGGCGAAGAATGCTGAATATGCCATGGACCTCCAGAAGAGCAAACAAATCCAGTCTTGGAGAAGTACAGCCAGAACACTCCTTAAAAGCAAGGGTGGCAAGACCTCATCTTGCTTACTTTGGACATGTCATCAAAAAAGACCAATCACTAGAAAAGGACATCAAGTTTGGTAAAGATCAGTGAAAACGAGGGCAACCCTCAATAAAATGGATTGACTTGGTGATGCAACAACCGGCTCAAATACGCCAAAGATCACGAAGACAGCACAGGACCAGGCAATGTTTTGTTCTGTTATACAAAAGGTCACCATCAGTCAGAGCCGACTCAACACCAACTATCAGCCACAAAATGTTATTTTTAACAGACTTTTGATCACCATCTTAACATTTTAGTCCCTTAAAATTGTCCAACTCCCAGCACTTAGTTAAAAACAAAAATTAAACTAAGAAACTCACAGCATTCTGCATAGTATGGTTGCCACAAATGCTGAGGTACGAGGAGAAACGGGTTTAAACACAGCTCTGTGAATAGTCACTGTGAAGGCTTTCAACGAGTCATCTAACCTGACTCTATTTTTTCATGCAAACAGCAGAGTAATATCACTGATTTCTTATGATTATCACAAGGATTCAAGATAAATGTATGTATAGAGACTACGGAATCTATCGAGTGCTGTATAATATAATGGTGATGATGCTGCCAACTACAGTGGCAAATACTTGACTGGTATTTACTACATGGCAGGGGCATTCTAAGCAATTCACATACATTAATTCACTTGATTCATTTCAGCTACACATTCAACCCTATTCGGTAGGACGTGTTAGTAACCGTATCATACAAATGAGGAAATAAGAGGCATTGAGCAGTGAAGTAACTTGCCCCAGCTTACACAGCTAAAAATCCTGCCCATGCTGGCTAAATCCATGCTTTCCCCACTACACTAAGTGCATGCCCTTCTGAGGAAGGTCCACAGACGAACTGCACAGACACCAGCAAAAGCCAAGAGGACGTAACAGCACCCACAGAACATCTCCCTGGTTAACAATTTCCTGGTTGTACACTGGTTTTACAAAGATAAACTGCACAGAACATACATCTCTCAATACAACTTTTTTTTTTTTTTTTTTTTAATTAAAGTATATATACGGAAATTTTGTTTACATCCTCAAAACTTAGTATGTGACTTTAAACAAAATGATGTGTGGAAGAGTCTCAAGTTACAATCCAAATGAAATTTGTAGGACCTCAGAATCACAGATAGTGAGTTTGAAAAAAGCAGGCTAAATGTAAATAAAACCAAAACCAGTTGTCATTGAGTTGACCCAATTCATGGTGGCTCCGTGTGTCAGAGTGGAACAGTATTCCACAGTTTTCAGTGGTTGATTCTTGGAAGTAGATCAGCAGGCCTTTTCCTCCAAGGCGACTCTGGGTGGACTCGAATCTCCAACCTTCTGCTTAGCAGCTGAACCTGTTAACTGTTTGCACCACCCAGGGACTCCGAGTGTAAATAAAGGAGACCTTATTGTTGAAAGTGACTTCTATAAACACCCCGATCCTCTTACAACACTACCCCAAGAAAGTCAGAATGGAGGCAAATGGAACGTAAACAAAGCTCCGTGGGCAATTTTCCCATCCTAAAGCATCGACCACTGAAAGAACTTCATAGCATCCTCCTGGCTCTGCAGCCACACTGAAATGACTGAGCACCTCTGTGACCTGTTCGGAGTCATTCTGAATCGCCCCTTCATCACCAAAACCATCGGCACCATCCCCCAACCAGTGACAAGGTCTGCTCAACCTCCTTCCTCCACCTTCTTCATGCCTCAATTCTCCTCCTCACTTTATAAGAAATTGCCTTGTTTTACTAAGCATTTGTGTTTTTCCTAAAAAATGTATTTAATGCTGTATTACTTTATTATAAACATAATGATTAGTGAACAGCATGCATATTTTCCACATACCAACAACTGTCAACCATACTACCTGGTAGTCAGAAAACAATGTTTTAAGCATTTTAAATCTTAACATGATACTCTGTTGTTTATACACAGGCTTTTTACTGGAAACTAGTTGAATGTCTTCTGTTAATACATACAATTTTTCCTTATCAAAATAATGGGAAACAGGTTCTGAGGCAGATTTTCATGAAAAATGTCTGATTTTCAGAAATGCAATGTTAAATAGGCGTTATCTATATAGCCTTACTTTTAATACTCTTGACTGAAGTATAATGTACACACAGAAAATGTACAAATCTTAAGTATACAGCTCAATGACCTTTTGACGTCTGTGAACACATGTGAACATGTGCACGTATACACACATATATCTCTATCTTTATGACTACCACCTAGATCAAGATATAAAACATTTCCATCACTGCTTTATCTTCTTGTCTCCTGATACTACCCAACCAAATGGAATTACTACTCCCATTTCTACCACACTATAGATTAGTTTTTTTTATTAAACTATATATAAATGAATCATATAAACGGAAACATGAAGCAGGAACACTTTCCAACTCGTTTTACGACAACAGCAGAACCTTGATAATCTGAAAACCTGACAAGAAAATTACAGACTGATATCTCTCATGAACACAGACACAAAAACACTAAACAAATATTAGCATACTGAATCCAGCAATATATAACAGGGTATCATTGTGACTAAGTAAGATCTACCCCAGGAATGCAAGGCTGGTTAAATAATCAAAATGTAATTTACCACATTATGAAAATAAAACAGAAAAATTTATATGATCAATTCAACAGAGGTTAAAAAAAAGGCATTTGACAAAATTTAACACCCACTCATGTTAAAAAAAAAAAAAACAACTCAGAAAATTAGAAAAAGGGAACTTTTTCAATTTGATAAAGGATATCTACAAAACAAACAAAGAAAAACTAGAGCTAACAGCATACTTAACACTGCACACTTTCTCTCAAAAGCTGGGGACAAGACAAGGGTGTCTCCTCTCAGCACTTCTACTCCACACTATAAGTAAGAAGTAGGAAAAAGAAATAAAAGATACAAAGACTGGAAAGAAAAAGTTTTTATTTGCAGATCAGAGATTATAGATTTCTCTGGATTTTCTACTTACGCAAACAAACCACCAGAACTAATAAGTGAGTTTTTAGTAAGGTCACAGGGTAACAAGTCATTAAATAAATATCAATCTACTTTTACATACTAGACCAAGAATTAGAAATTAAACTTAAAAAACAAAAAGTACCATTTACAATAACATAAAACATCAAGACGTCATGACTCAGTAAGAGAAATTGAAGAAAGTGTAAATAGTTGAATAGATACACCATGTCCACGAACTAGAAGACTCAGCATTGTTAACAGGTCAGTTTCCCCAAACTGATCTATAGATTCAATGCAGCCCCAATCAAAATAGAACTGAAAAAAAAATTAATTCAACTCAGGAAACTGTTGTAACTGGTGAGAGTGCCTGTCTATAAAACACACCCGTTGCCATCAAGTCGATTCCGACTCATAGCGACCCTACAGGACAGAGTAGAACCGCTCCAAAGAGCTTCCAAGGAGCCACTGGTGGATTCGAACTGCTAACCTGTAGCTCATCGTAGCTCTTAACTACTGCGCCACCAGGGCTCCAAGCCCTCAAATTTAACTAAATACTGTGAACAGCGGGCAAAAAAATTCAACAAAGTCTATGAGAAGAAAATCACAGAATGTGAACCAAAGCTACACACCCCATGAATAGAAACAAAAAAAAGTTTGATAATAGTTTTCTCAAAGAAAAAATTCACTATCATTAGTTTCTTTCCAACATAAAACTCCCATAAGATATTTTTAAAATGACTCACTTCATACAACTTTTCAGGGAGAAGAGTATAAAACAAGAAAATACAGATGTACATTAGTTTATTTTTCTAGTTAAAAAAGACAATGTACACCTAAATAGAAATATAAAATCATTTGAGCTACATGTCAATATAAAAATTTGCACAAATATAACTTATATGCAAAATGAAAATATTCATGGGTAACTGTATTAAAGTCAGATTTTTTTTCCACCTGAAAACTGATAAAGCTGTGAAATACAGAAAAGTACTACACTTGTAAG